CCAACCTGAAACTTCACACTCCACACTTCACACTCCACACTTCACACTTCACACTTCTCACTTCTCACTGCTTCCTTCACACTCCAAACCTCACACTTCACACTTCACACTGCGCTCTTCGCACTCCAAACTTAAACTTCACACTCCACACTTCACACTTCTCACTTCCCACTGCTTCCTTCACACTGCACACTTCACACTGCACTCTTCACGCCCCACACTTCACACTGCTCTAAACCTACGTGCAACCAAAAAACACTAGCGCCAAAATGGAGAAAATCTGCTAACAAATCCATGTCGCAGCCTTCATGCAGCCACTCCAAGACGATGTACGAGATCCAGCTGCAAAAGACATTACGCATGCAGCCAAAGCAAGAAGCAACCTTGACGCAGCCATTCCAATGCGATCTGCGGAGACCGAGTTGCAAAACACAAGAAAACTACGCGCAATGGCATCGGAAATTGTAGCTCCAAAACCGGATCTCGACGCCAGAGCGAAAAAAAGACGATTTTGAAGCACTTTTTAAAGGGATTTTTAGAAGGAAAATCACTAGCGCCAAAATGGAGAAAATCTGCTGACAAATCACTGTGGCAGCCTTCATGCAGCCACTCCAATACGATTTACGAAGTCCAGCTGCAAAAGACAATAGTATTACGCATGCAGCCACAGCATGAAGCAACCTTGACGCAGCCATTACAATGCGATCTGCGGAGACTGAGTTGCAAAACACAAGAGAACTACGCGCAACGGCATCGGAAATTGTAGCTCCAAAACCGGATCTCGACGCCAGAGCGAAAAAAAGATGATTTTGAAGCACTTTTTAAAAGGATTTTTAGAAGGAAAATCACTAGCGCCAAAAACGCATTTCGTGCGAGACTTCCTTCAAAACTCCTTGACGCAGCCATTCCAATGCGATCTGCGGAGACTGAGTTGCAATACACAAGAGAACTACGCGCAATGGCGTCGGAAATTGTAGCTCCAAAACCGGATCTCGACGCCAGAGCGAAAAAAAGACGATTTTGAAGCACTTTTTAAAAGGATTTTTAGAAGGAAAATCACTAGCGCAAAAATGGAGAAAATCTGCTGACAAATCACTGTCGCAGCCTTCATGCAGCCACTCCAATACGATTTACGAAGTCCAGCTGCAAAAGACAATAGTATTACGCATGCAGCCACAGCATGAAGCAACCTTGACGCAGCCATTACAATGCGATCTGCGGAGACTGAGTTGCAAAGCACAAGAGAACTACGCGCAATGGCATCGGAAATTGTAGCTCCAAAACCGGATCTCGACGCCAGAGCGAAAAAAAGACGATTTTGAAGCACTTTTCAAAAGGATTTTTAGAAGGAAAATCACTAGCGCCAAAAATGCATTTCGTGCGAGACTTCCTTCAAAACTCCATCGGCAACTCATCCACCAGCACCACTTGCAATCCCATTTACATTGCGGGAACGATCCTACAGTTGCAAATCACAATGGAATTCTGTTGACCGCGCATGCACGAAAAACACTTGAAACCCCATTTACAATGCGGAACCGATCCGACCATGGTCCGAGAATGATCCGACCATGGTCCGAGAATGATCCGACCATGGTCCGAGAATGATCCGACCACACACGAGACCGTCTCGCACCCGTCGCACCGCAGAGGTAGATCATCGACGTTCGGGGACGCACTTTGTCTGGAAAAACACAGGGTTTCGTGCATCTGCTATCTCTCAAAAACGCATTTCGTGCGAGACATCCTTCAAAACTCCATCGGCAACTCATCCACCAGCACCACTTGCAATCCCATTTACATTGCGGGAACGATCCTACAGTTGCAAATCACAATGGAATTCTGTCGGCCGCACATGGACGAAACACAGTTGAAACCCCATTTGCAATGCGGAACCGATCCGAGACCGATCCGACCATGATCCGAGAATGATCCGACCACACACGAGACCGTCTCGCAACCGTCGCACCGCAGAGGTAGATCATCGAGGTTCGGGGACGGACTTTGTATGGAAAACCATAGGCTTTCGTGCATCTGCTATCTCTCAAAAACGCATTTCGTGCGAGACTTCCTCCAAAACTCCATCGGCAACTCCTCCACCAGCACCACTTGCAATCCCATTTACAGTGAGGGAACAATTTCTTTGACTAACTCGTTCCCTAACGAACTCTTTCTTTGCTCTTTCTTTGACTAACTCTTTCTTTGCTAACTCTTTCTTTGACTACCTCATATATCCTGACTAACTCTTTCTTTGGCTAACTCTTTCTTTGACTACCTCATATATCCTGACTAACTCTTTCTTTGACTAACTCTTTCCCTGACTAACTGTTTCTTTGCTAACTCTTTCTTTGACTAACTCTTTCCCTCACTAACTCTTTCTTTGACTAACTCTTTCCCTGACTAACTGTTTCTTTGCTAACTCTTTCCCTCACTAACTCTTTCCCTCACTAACTCTTTCTTTGACTAACTCTTTCCCTGACTAACTCTTTCTTTGACTAACTCTTTCCCTGACTAACTGTTTCTTTGCTAACTCTTTCTTTGACTAACTCGTTCCCTCACTAACTCTTTCTTTGACTAACTCTTTCCCTGACTAACTCTTTCTTTCCCTGACTAACTGTTTCTTTGCTAACTCTTTCTTTGACTAACTCTTTCCCTCACTAACTCTTTCTTTGACTAACTCTTTCCCTGACTAACTGTTTCTTTGCTAACTCTTTCTTTGACTAACTCTTTCCCTCACTAACTCTTTCTTTGACTAACTCTTCCCTGACTAACTGTTTCTTTGCTAACTCTTTCTTTGACTAACTCTTTCCCTCACTAACTCTTTCTTTGACTAACTCTTTCCCTAACTAACTGTTTCTTTGCTAACCCTTTCTTTGACTAACTCTTTCCCTCACTAACTCTTTCTTTGACTAACTCTTTCCCTGACTAACTGTTTCTTTGCTAACTCTTTCTTTGACTAACTCTTTCCCTCACTAACTCTTTCTTTGACTAACTCTTTCCCTGACTAACTGTTTCTTTGACTAACTCTTTCTTTGACTAACTCTTTCCCTGACGAACTCTTTCTTTGCTAACTCTTTCCCTGACGAACTCTTTCCCTGACATTCTAAAAGTCCGTAACGCGGAAGTTTCTCCCCCTAAACTTCCTTTGACAACTACAGCAGCTACTACCACGCCTACAACTACAATTGCAGCTACAGTACGCTACACTACACTAATTACACTGCAGCACACTACAACTACAAATACAACTGCAAGCACAACCACACTACATTACACAACACTACACTACATTGATTACATGGCATTACGCTACAACTACAACTACAGCTACAACAGCAACTACAACTACAACTACCACTACATTACACCACACTACACTATAGCTACAACTACAACTCCACTACATTGCACTTCGCTACACTACACTACACTACACTACACTACACTACACTACACTACACTACACCACACCACCCTACACTACGCTAGACTGATTGCACTGCACTACAACTACCTTACGCTACACTACACTAGACTACACTACACAACACTACACGACATTGCACTGCACTACACTACACTAAATACACCACACCACGACTACAACTGCAACTGCGCTTGCAACTACACTAATTACACTACATTACAACTACAACTCCACTCCACTACACTACGCAGCTACAACTGCAACTACAACTGCAACTTGATTACACCACACTACATCCAGCAGTTGTGGTAAGGTGACCACTGCAACCATTGCAACCATTCCAAAAAAACAACTCCAACCACCTGTCGGTCCATTAGTGGATTCGCTCTGCCACCCGCGATTCACAACAACCAATCTCTCCTATAGGTTTCCTATTTGTGAAACTTCCACCACCGCCTTGTGCGGTACTACTGGATAGAATAGAATAGAATAAAATAGAACAGAATAGAATAGGACTAGATAGATAGATAGATAGAAAGATAGATAGATAGTTAGATAGATAGATCGATAGATAGATAGTTAGATTGGAAATATAGGTTAGAAAGATTAGATAGATTAGAAAGGGTTAGATAGATTAGATAGATTAGATAGATACATAGGTAGATACATAGATAGATAGACAGACAGACAAATAGATAGAGTGAATGATAGATAGATAGATAGACAGACAGACAGACAGACAGATAGATAGATAGATAGATAGACCGACAGACCGACAGACCGACAGACCGACAGACCGACAGACCGACAGACAGACAGACAGAGAGAGAGAGAGAGAGATATAGATAGATAGATAGATAGATAGATCGATAGATAGATAGATAGATAGAGAGAGAGAGATAGATAGATAGATAGATAGAAAGATAGATAGATAGATAAGTAGATAAGTAGATAAGTAGACAAATATGTAGATAGATATGTAGATAGATAGATAGATAGATAGATAGATAGATAGATAGATAGATAGATAGATAGATAGATAGATAGATAGATAGATAGATAGATAGATAGATAGATAGATCGGTAGATGGATGGATGGATGGATGAATAAACAGCGAAAGAGAGACACAAGGAGAAGGAGACAGGGAGAGGCAGAGAGAGAGAGAGAGAGAGAGATTCAGAACTTCAACCACCTTTCAGTCCATCAGTTCGCTCTGCCATGCATGAATCACAACAACTCACCTCTTCTATAGGTTTCCTATGATTGAAACTTCCGCTACCGCCTTGTGCGGCACTACTGGCACCACCTGCTGTCGCGACATACATACATAATATATATATATGTATGTATGTATGTATGTATGTACGTACGTACGTACGTATGTATGTATGTATTGTATGTATATATATATACATATTACAATATCAGACGTTCTACAGAACAATTCCAGAAAGCAACGTGCAATACACTCAAAAGAACCGGACAGGCAAGTGATACCCAGGGCAAATGCAAACCTCCTTCGTGAATAGGCTATGTTCATGAGTCCATGCAGCTGGGGTTTGTTTGTCTCAGGAGGAAGAGGATCAGAACAATCAACTAGAAGCCGACTGGGAAGTTCCGCAGAAAGTCCTAGCTCCCGAAAAGATTTGGGAAAGTGACAGCTGCCTGGCATGGAACAACATTTTTTTTGCTCCGTTGCTGCGCTGCTCCTCCTGTTTGGTGTTTTAATTGTTAAGGTGTGAAGATGTGTTAAGCCTTCGGAGCATTCGTCGTACTTTCGGCATGACAAAGGTAGCCCTTGGCTTCTTGGCCATGGCCAGCATTGCCCGCTGCCACCAAGGTGAAGAGGAAGGAGGCATTTTGAGCAAGCAGGGCGAGGAAGTGGAGGCTGATAGCACAGCAACCTAATTTACTTTGCCAGACTTCATGTCGGGAATCGATGCCGCAGTTTTCTTTGCGTGAGATGTTAAACGTTGCAACATGTTTTGACAGAAAGAAACATGAGGCACTTCTGAAGAAGTACAAAAACCCGGATGGAGATGACCAATCAGAGGCCAGAATTGTCCTGTTTGTTTCAGTGTTTGCATTTGCTGTTGAGCAGTGTCAGCAAGTCGCTCGAAACATTTTGTCCCATCAGGATGAGGAGGCTGAACCTGTGCCAGAGCCAGCCCCCAAAGGGAAGGCTTCTCCAAATACCACTGACAAGCCGAAGGGGCCAAAGGCAAAGGCGAAGGCCAAAGCGAAAACAAAAAGTGACCAACCCAAAGTGAACGGTACGGCCCTGCAGCAACGAACTGTTGTGCCTGGGTCTCCGAGCAATCCAAAGGAAGGGCCAAAACCAATAGAACTAAAACAGGACCGAAGGGAAGAGAGTGCAAAGACTGAAGAGGTTGAAGAGACCAAGAAGTCGACAAAGCCTACAAACGAGAAATGCAAGGACGCACAGGGTACAGAAAGCAGCAAAACTGAAAAAAATCAGACAGAAGTGACGGAGGATGAATTGAAACTCAAGGCGAGACCACTTGTGAATGGCCTTGTGGTTGGCTGACAGAATCAAGCAATCATTGCGACTGGTGGCCTTTAGGTTTACATATGTCTGAGAGATTTGCGGAGACTTCAGTGCCAATAGTTGGCTCTTTCCAAAGAGCCTGGTCTGTCTACTGAGAAATGATTTATCAATGGCTGAGGCTTCATTTCCATGTACCTCATTGTGAGAAAACTTGATAGGTGATCACCTTGCTTCAGAAGAAAGGTGGTTCAAGCTATTTGAGCTGCTTGCTTGCAATTGGTTTTCTTGCTTCTCTTTGCAAAAATCACAACAAAGGCTTTGTTTGAAATAGTCGAAATCCAGCAAAGACAGCAGCCCTTTCTCCCAATTTCAGGTGTCATGTCATCAGCCCTGGGATTGAAGAGTCTGAACTCAAGCTTTGGGCAAAAAGCCTTGGCAGTCTTGCGAGAGGCAACATGTGGGACTGGTTGTGTAGACTCAATGTGTGTCCAACAGCCCACACCTCACGTTACTTCTCACAGGTGGCCGAGTACGACACCATGCCTGGAGAGGCTGGGCCAGACAGGTAGCTGAGGCCTTTGAGTTTAAGGAACGTTGATGGATCTGTTGGTCTTACATTGTCTCACATAACACCTGAAGGCACGGGTGGCAGTCCTTCTGAAGGCGCAATTGCGGCGCAATGGACACATTTTGACTCTTATGAGTCTTATGAGTTTTGAATCAATATTTTAATCACTTTGTCAGCATGAGGACGGACAATTTCATCTACTGACTCGCCGTACCACACATCTCAGACCAGGTGCAGTATTGGGGCCATGTGGCTGAGGGGCCAGCAGCCCCATCAGAACTTGCCAACAGGCGCAATGCCAACTGTTTTGTCTCCATGGCCCATGGTGCAGGTACATTCATTTCGAAACAATTTTTTTTCCCGAATGCGTAGCGAAGGGTTCCCGTTTATAGTCTGGGGGTCTGGGGGCTGGACCCTTGTTCGCCTCCAGTTGGTCGTCGCGTCGTTTTTTGCGTCGTTTTCACGTCGTTTTTCGCGTCGTTTTCGCGTCGTTTTTCGCGTCGTTTTCGCGTCGTTAATTCCGTGTCTATGGGGAAAGCTGCGAAGCATCGCTTGTTTTGCTGCGCTCACGTCGCCGTGTCTATAGGGGAATCTGCAAAACCTCAGTCTCTGCTTGTCCTTTGGCGTCGCCGTGTCTATGGGGGAAGCTGCAAAACATCGTTCGTTTTGCTGCGCTCACATCGCCGTGTCTATGGGGGAAGCTGCAACACCTCAGTCTCTGCTTGTCCTCTGGCGTCGCCGTGTCTATGGGGGAAGCTGCAAAACCTCGGCGTCGCCGTGTCTATGGGGGAAGCTGCAAAACCTGGTTCGCTTTGCTGCGCTCACATCGCCGTGTCTATGGGGAAAGGCGCAAAACCTATCTTGTGCTCACGTCGCCGTGTCTGTGGGGGAAGCTGCAAAACCTATCTCGTCTCGAGTTTCTGCTTGTCCTCTGGCATCGCCGTGTCAATGGGGAAAGCTGCAAAGCCTCCTTCGTTTTGCTACGCTCACATCGCCGTGTCTATGGGGGAAGCTGCAAAACTTTGCGGGAAGTAGTACTGGGAAGTTCTTTGTGCAAGCTTTGTAGTACAAAGTAGTACTGGATCGTGCTTTGTGCAAGCTTTGTAGTACAAAGTAGTACTGGGAAGTGCTTTGTGCAAGCTTTGTAGTACAAAGTAGTACTGGGAACGACTTTGTGCAAGCTTTGTAGTACAAAGTACTGGGAACGTGTTTTGTGCAAGCTTTGTAATACAAAGCAGTGCTGGGAAGTGCTTTGTGCAAGCCTTCTAGTACAAAGTAGTACTGGGAACGACTTTGTGCAAGCTTTGTAGTACAAAGTAGTACTGGGAACGACTTTGTGCAAGCTTTGTAGTACACAATAGTACTGGGAAGTGCTTTGTGCAAGCCTTGTAGTACAAAGTAGTACTGGGAACGACTTTGTGCAAGCTGTGTAGTACAAAGTAATACTGGAACGTGCTTTGTGCAAGCTGTGATAGTACAAAGTAGTACTGTGAAATGCTTTGTGCAAGCTTTGTAGAACAAAGTAGTACTGGGAACGACTTTGTGCAAGCTTTGTAGTACAAAGTAGCACTGGGAACGACTTTGTGCAAGCATTGTCGTACAAAGTAGTACTGGGAGGTACTTTGTGCAAGCTTTGTAGTACAAAGTAGTACCGGGAACGACTTTGTGCAAGCTTTGTAGTACAAAGTAGTACTGGGAACGACTTTGTGCAAGCTTTGTAATACAAAGCAGTGCTGGGAAGTGCTTTGTGCAAGCTGTGTGGTACAAAGTAGTACTGGGAAGTGCAAGCTGTGTAGTACAAAGTAGTACTGGGAACGACTTTGTGCAAGCTTTGTAGTACAAAGTAGTACTGGGAACGACTTTGTGCAAGCTTTGTAGTACACAGTAGTACTGGGAAGTTCTTTGTGCAAGCTTTGTAGTGCAAAGTAGTGCTGGGAAGTGCTTTGTGCAAGCTTTGTAGTACAACGTCGTACTGGGAACGACTTTGTGCAAGCTTTGTAGTACACAGTAGTACTGGGCGTTAAATTTCGCATATAGGGTGGGTGGGCCTGCCCGAAGCTTGAAAATCAAAATAGGTTGTCGACACATTCTATGCATCCAGGTGCAATGATAATAGGTCATTGGAGACTGGTAAACAACTTATTGAGGCCTTATGGCTCAGGAAAGGCAAAACACCAATTAGAAGGCCAGAAAAATTGTTTCTTGACAAGTTACTGCAGCTACCACGTCATGTGACTCGAAATTCAACTCTGGAGCATCCTGGAGTATTTTTCGCTTGGGCTTCATGTGGTCTGTTGTCTCGGAGTATGGAGTACGTGACTGCTTATTTTTTTTTCGGTTGGGGGGCGATGTTAAAGTGAAACTTGTCATTTTGTCACTGTGCAGATGCATGGTCAGAAGAGTGTATATATAATTCCCAAATCTTTGCCACTTTTGTCCGAAATTGATCTACTTATGCCACTTTTCGGAAACTTTCGCAAAATCACCAGCTTTCTTTCACAGCATGCCTCCAATAGTTTGAACATTTTGGCAGGCAGATGAGTATTCAATTTATGAAGAGGTCTTCTGAAGTTTCTTAAAGAATCATGGTTCGTCAAGTTCGTCAAAAGTTCGTCAAAAGTTTGTCAGGTTCGTCAAGTTCGTCAAGTTCGTCAGAAGTTCGTCAGAAGTTTGTCAGAAGTTCGTCAGAAGTTTGTCAGAAGTTCGTCAGAAGTTCGTCAAGTTCGTCTCAGAAGTTCGTCAAGTTCGTCAGAAATTCGTCAGAAGTTCGTCAAAAGTTCGTCAAAAGTTCGTCGAATTCGTCGGAGGCCTGGGCGGGGGTCCTAATTGGGAGTCAAAACATTTTTTTTTGGGATTTTGCTGGGCAAAACAGCCCATTTTTTTGACTTTATGTGGCAAAACAGTTTATTTTGTTGTTTAAAAATGAGATCTGACGAACTTGACGAACTTCTGACGAACTTGACGAACTTCTGACGAACTTCTGACGAACTTCTGACAAACTTCTGGCGAACTTCTGACGAACTTCTGACGAACTTCTGACGCACTCCCGAAGAACTTCTGACGAACTTCTGACGAACTTCTGACGAACTTCTGACGAACTTGACGAACTTCTGACAAACTTCTGACGAACTTGACTAACCTCCGACGAACTTCTGACTTGTGAAAAAAACTAGACGACGGATGGCCCGAGAGCGTAGAGGAGCAGGGTCTTCTCTTGTTAGCATGGAGACACCATATTACAAAACAATATATTAAAGATGTGTTATAGGCAGTCGAGAAGAGGAGTATCAAGACAATATAGCACAAGTACAAGATAATAGTTTAGTTTGCATCGCCAACACTTTTACACACAGAAGCTTTTACACACAGACGCGTTTACACACAAAAGCTTTTACAGACAGAAGCTTTTACACACAGACGCTTTTACACAGACGCTTTTACACACAGACACTTTTACACACAGACGCTTTTACACACAGACACTTTTAACAAAGACCCTTTTACACACAGGAGCTTTTACACACAGAAGCGTTTACACGCAAACGCTTTTACACACAAAAGCTTTTACACACAGAAGCTTTTACACATAGACTCTTTTACACACAGACACTTTTACACACAAACACTTTTACACACAAACACTTTTACACACAGACGGTTTTACACACAAACACTTTTACGCAGAAACACTCTTACACACAGACGCTTTTACACACAGACGGTTTTACACACAAGCGGTTTTACACACAATTACTTTTACACACAGACGCTGTTACACACAGACGCTTTTACACACAAACGCTTTTACACACAAAAGCTTTTACATACAGACGGTTTTACACACAGACTGTTTTACACACAGACGCTTTTACATACAAACACTTTTACACACAGACGCTTTTACACACAGACGCTTTTACACACAGAAGCTTTTACACACAAGCGCTTTTACACACAATCACTTTTACACACACAGACGCTTTTACACACAGAAGCTTTTACACACAGACGCTTTTACACACAGGTTGCTCCGGCAGAAGTAAAATCGCAATTTTTCCTCAGTTTTTGACGATCGACCTTCATTTCGTGCGAAACGGTTGCTCGGGGGCAAGTAAAATCGCAATTTTTCCTCAGTTTTTGACGATCGACCTTCATTTCGTGCGAAAGGGTTGCTCGGGGGCAAGTAAAATCGCAATTTTTCCTCCGTTTTTGACGATCGACCCTCATTTCGTGCGAAAGGGTTGCTCCGGCACAAGTAAAATCGCAATTTTTCCTCAGTTTTTGACGATCGACCTTCATTTCGTGCGAAACGGTTGCTCGGGGGCAAGTAAAATCGCAACTTTTCCTCAGTTTTTGACGATCGACCTTCATTTCGTGCGAAAGGGTTGCTCGGGGCAAGTAAAATCGCAATTTTTCCTCCGTTTTTGACGATCGACCCTCATTTCGTGCGAAAGGGTTGGTCCGGCACAAGTAAAATCGCAATTTTTCCTCAGTTTTTGCGCATCGACCCTCATTTCGTGCGAAAGGGTTGACGTTTCGTGACTCCCCGCCGGCACCACCCTCGGCCTAAAGAGAGAAAGATAAAGAAGGCGAGAGAGAGAAAAGGGAGAGAGAAAGGAGAGAGAGAAAGGAGAGAGAGAAAGGAGAGAGAGAAAGGAGAGAGGAAAGAGGAGAGAGAGAGAGGAGATGTGAGTATGTGAAGATGTGAGTGCGAGAGAGAGAAAGAGAAGATGTGAGTATGCGAAGATGAGCAGATGTGAAGATGAGCAGATGTGAAGATGCGAAGATGTGAAGATAGGAAGATGTGAAGATGAGCAGATGTGAAGATGAGAAGATGTGAAGATGAGCAGATGTGAAGATGAGAAGATGTGAAGATGAGCAAATGTGAAGATGAGAAGATGTGAAGATGAGAAGATGTGAAGATGAGCAGATGTGAAGATGAGAAGATGTGAAGGTGAGAAGATGTGAAGATGAGCAGATGTGAAGATGAGCAGATGTGAAGATGAGAAGATGTGAAGATGCGAAGATGTGAAGATGAGAAGGTGTGAAGATGAGAAGATGTGAAGATGAGAAGATCCGAAGATGAGAAGATGTGAAGATGAGAAGATGTGAAGATGAGAAGGTGTGAAGATGAGAAGATGTGAAGATGAGAAGGTGTGAAGTTGAGAAGATGAGATACAGACCCCCACTATTAGAAGAACCCTTCGCTCAGACGCTCTTGGGAACAATGTTTTTATTGGTTGTAGTGAAGTCCCAGCCTTTATCTCATGTTTTTTTGGTCTTTTTCAGTCGGTCTCTTTGAACACGTCAATGGGATCTGACAACACACACACATGCATTGCAGGAGTGATAGGATTGTGGGCCGATTTCGTCTATAAGTAATCATTTGAATTTTCGCTACTCACTCATACACGTTTAAATTCTATTTGACAGCCTTCGCTGCATCACAGCAAAACCCAATTTTTGGACATGCAGGGCCCAAAAAGATTCACTGGTGTCGGGTCCATTCTGGGTTCGGTAAAACGCATCAGTATCAGTCTTCATTTTTCTTTCTTACAAGTGCGCGTTGCATTTTTGGGCCGTCCATCATCTTGCAACGACGTGTGCGAGTTTTGTGTTTCTTCAAGCAACATTGTGTTTGTTGTAGATTGAAATAAGTTGTTGGTGCCCACGCCCCATATGTCCAAACAACTTCTTAAATTCCAACGTTCAAAAGTAGGTAAAAACAGCTTATTGCATCCTTACGGCAGGTAATTGCGAAATTTAATAGTACTGGGAAGTAGTTTGTGCAAACTTTGTGTAAAGTAAGGAGTGTGGAGTGTAAAGTGTGGAGTGGTGAGTGTAGAGTGTGTAAAGTGTGGAGTGTGGAGTGTAGAGTGTGAAGTGTAAAGTGTAGAGTGTCAAGTGTAGAGTGTGGCGTGTGGAGTGTAAAGTGTAGAGTGTGGAGTGTGAAGTGGAAAGTGTAGAGTGTGGAGTGTGGAGTGCGGAGTGTAAAGTAAGCAGTGTGGAGTGTAAAGTGTGGCGTGTGGAGTGTAAAGTGTGAAGTGTGGAGTGAGGAGTGTGGTGTGTGTAGAGTGTAGAGTGTGGTGGAGTGTGGAGTGTGGAGTGTGGAGTGTGGAGTGTGGAGTGTGGAGTGTGTAGAGTGTGGAGTGTGGAGTGTGGAGTGTGGAGTGTGGAGTGTGGAGTGTGGAGTGTGGAGTGTGGAGTGTGGAGTGTAGTGTGTGGAGTGTGGAGTGTGGCGTGTGGAGTGTGGAGTGTGGAGTGTGGACTGTGGAGTGAGGAGTGAGGAGTGTGGAGTGTAAAGTGTAAAGTGTGGAGTGTGGAGTGTGCAGTGGGTAAAGTGTGGAGTGTGCAGTGTAGAGTGTGGAGTGTGGAGTGTAAAGTGTAGAGTGTGGAGTGTAAAGCGTGGAGTGTAAAGTGTTGAGTGTGGAGTGTAACGTGTAGAGTGTAAAGTGTAGAGTGTGGAGTGTGGAGTGTAAAGTGTGGAGTGTAAAGTGTGGGGTGAGGAGTGTAAAGTGCAGAGTGTAAAGTGTGGAGTTTAATGTTTAGAGTGTGGAGTGAGGAGTGTAAAGTTTCAAGTGTAGAGTGTGGAGTGAGGAGTGTAAAGTGTAATGTGTGGAGTGTGGAGTGTGGAGTGGAAAGTGTCGAGTGTGGAGTGTGGAGTGTAGAGTGTAAAGTGTAGAGTGTAAAGTGTAGAGTGTGGAGTGTGGAGTGTAAAGTGTAGAGTGTGGAGTGTGGAGTGTGCAGTGGGTAAAGTGTGGAGTGTGGCAGGTGGTGATCTCGTTGTGCTGGTGATGTTGTTGTGCTGGTGATTTTGTTGCGCTGGTGATGTATGCTGATGCGTTCGTTGTGCTGGTGATCTCGTTGCGCTGGTGATGTTGTTGTACTGGTGATTTCGTTGTGCTGATGATTTTGTTGCGCTGGTGATGTTTGCTGGTGCGTTCGTTGTGCTGGTGATTTGGTTGTACTGGTGATTTCGTTGTGCTGATGATTTTGTTGCGCTGGTGATGTTTGCTGGTGCGTTCGTTGTGCTGGTGATTTCGTTGCGCTGGTGATGTTGTTGTGCTGGTGATTTTGTTGCGCTGGTGATTTCGTTGCGCTGGTGATTTCGTTGTGATTTCATTGCGCTGGTGATGTTGTTGTGCTGGTGGTGATTTCGTTGTACTGGTGTTGATGTTGTTGTGCTGGTTAGTTATATCTCTTTGTGAACTGTTGATCAGGTGCCTTTGCTGAGACGATATGCGCGCACGATGCATAAAAAAATTCGTTTTCCTGTTGCAGAGATTTTCGCTCGTAGTCCAAGAACGTGCATACATTCGGGTTCGTGGCTTCCATCTTGTTTTTTGTCGTACGAAAGTGTAAAGTCCTTGGTTGAGGCGACCGTGGTGCTATCTGGATTCTTCTGGAAAAGCAGTTGGAGATCGCGCCAGTGCGCAGCATGCGGTGACTCATGGCAACCTGGCAACTGTGCACTCCGACAGCCATATAGTGATGGTTGGATGATGGATGCCAACTCCATTGTGGCAAACAACTAGATTTCTTGTGAGACGAAGGGGTGTTTGCATGGTGTTTGCTGCAATATTCTCCAATCTTATAATGTTGCTTCAAGCATCTTGAAGCTGCGACTTGTACTCCAAGATGTCCAAGGTGTGGACTTTTATCGTGCTCGCCTCTCTGCCAACATGAACGCGCAGCTTGACTACTGGGATACGTCTAATGTTCTTTTCATTGCTCCATTTTGATGTGCCAAACCTGGAAGAAATAGCTGCATTCCAACCAGAAGGCTTTTGTCTTGGAGTGGCAAATAGACTGGCGACCACTGGTGACAAGTGAAAACGCAGTAATATCAATTTCGTCAATGCAACCCAGAAAGAAACACTTGAGACACATATCATTTGAACGCCGATTTGATTTGATCTCCTGCGGAATCAAGGGATGACATCCAAGTCTTGAGCTGAAACTGATCTTAGGTCTTGCTGGTTGCCAGCCTCCAAAGCCCCTTCCCATTGCAATCTGCAGGCGCTTTCTGCTGACACAGTTCTATTCAACGATTGCTGCTTTACTTGACCTTCCATGAATGATTCAAATTATTCATTGCGGTAACATTTTGGTTTATTTTCCAAAGCCCACGCGTCGGAATCCTGGAACTATGAGAGAATTGCAGAGGTAGACACTGCGACAACTTGAGAGCTAGCCGACAGTCGCCGTTCTGAGCCTTTCTGCCGTGCATAGCTGTTGAGAAAACAGACTAAGCAGACCAAGCAGACTTGGATTTTCCTGAGCGGATTCAGTTTCTTGAAGTCCAGCTCATAGAAGTCGATCTGTGTTGCCTCGGAAGTGGGAATCCCTAGATAGTTGAAAAAGGGTCAGTCAAAGCAAGAGGGAGTAGCGAGTAGCTCAGATTTTATGCTGGAAGACTTTGAAGTGTTTTTTCACTTTGGAGTCAATCCCTTATGTTGCTGCTTCCATTGAAAGGCAAGCACCGAAAGTGTCGCAGGAATGTTTCACAATCTCATTATGTCCTGTTGTCAGCACGGAAGGATCCTACTAACTACTATATATACATCTCACAGCGTTTCTACCAATGCAGTTTTGAATACTGCATGTCTGAGAAATTGTGGCTTTGTCTACCATATATGACAATAAGAATGACACGTGCATACGTGTGCACAAATCGTTCCTTCAATTACGTAAGGATCCACATTCATTATGTCATTGCTGCCAACATGGAACTACCACATGAAAGCAAAAACCCTGCTGTGCTCTGCAAATTGAGCAGCAAAGAATTGACAGTTGTGTTGTATCAGGCCGCAATATTCCCCAGTAAGGCCAGGTAGGACCTTGAGATGGATGAGATGGGACAACTGTGTGATGATTGATGGCATCTCCGATTCAGATTTTGCGGACAGCCTGCGCGGGCTGTAGACCTGTAGACTTGTTTAATTTTCCTTGCAGCCATCAGGATCAAGACCCAGAAAATCTAGAAAAAAGGGCCATGCAAAAGATAACAGAATCACATATATACACATACATAGTTCCAAGCGCACGGGGCGGCCACAAGACCTTTTGGCTTACTTTGAACACTTTCAAGATCAGGCCCTGAAAGTGTATGCAGTACAGAATCCCACGTGCGGCGTCGTAGTCGGGCTTTTTTCGGTCGCCAAGCGTGGCCCTCCGCGTCACAGCGACAGGGGGCGCTGGCACAATGCCAGCGCCATTGCGGCTGCCTCAGCATCCGCCCCAGCTCCACCAGCTCCAGACCTCGCGATTCAAGCGGCTCTTGCAGCAGTTGAATGATTGCCATGAGGAGGACTCGCAATGACTCACAGCGGGAGCAACGGGAGCAACAAAAGACAACAAAAGACAACAAAAGACAAAAGACAACAAAAGACAACAAAAGACTGACTGAGATTTGATGTCCTCTTTCGTAGATTGCGAGATTTGATGTTTACATGTGGGCAGCTAGGCGGCTAGACCTGGCTAGACATTGACCTCCAAATCATGGAGTAAATTCTGGGTCAGAAACTATCGAGTCGAATGGAGCAGCGTCCGGAATCAACATCCAAAGGTTCGGATCAGCGTTGCAGAATCAGCTTCAAAGACGACGATCCTGGATCAAAATCGTGAATGGTCGGGACGGTCGGGACGGTCGGGATGTTCGGCGCGGTCGGCAGGTAGTGACGGTTGTGACGGTCGAGACGGTTGGGGTAGTCCACTATACCGTCCGGATCCCACCCATGTAGATTGGGATCCAGCCGCGCCGATCTGACCCATCTAGATTGCAGCTCGGCAGCTGACAGCTCATGCAGCTTCAATGCTCCAGCTGCAGGAGCTAAGTCGAGCTGCACCGCGTGGACCGCAAGGGTTCCAAGATCCTGGCAATGTGACTTGGCAGAGATTGGGAGAGAGTTGTCATGTGAGTCCACAATTGCTGCAAGTTGTTTTCCTGACTGTGAGAACAAGTGTCATTGAAAAACCGTATCAAATGCAGCCAAGATAAACGTCACATTGAAAAGACAAGCAAAGCAAATGCCACAAAACAACTCTCACAGTTGATGCAGGTTTCCGCTTCAGTTGGTCCATAGTCTCCCTGAATGCCTTGAGAGTTCTTTAGTATATTTCAGTATACATCTTATATATGTATCATGGTATTAACAGAATAATTTGATAACAATAATAATATAATATATACATAATACAACATATAAAATAAAATATTTAATTTCAAATATAGTATATAAAATATAAGATATCATATATAATAGATCGTGTATGATATCTCATACATGTAATATATAATATGTAATATATAATATGTAATATATAATATATCATAGATATAATAATAACAAAAAATAATACTATATTGAATAATAATATATGCATAATAATAGTCTATTTAGAATTTAATAACAACAATAATATAGACATGATAATAGCATATATAATCGTAACAATACTACTTTTAACAATAACAATACTAATTTCAATACATACATAATAATAGTATATACGATAATAATGAAAATAACAATAGTAATAATAATAATAAGTAATAGTAAATAATAGTAGTGATAACAATAATGTATACATAATAATAACAGCAATAATAATACTAAAAATAGTTATTACTAATAATAGCAATAATATATATAGTAATAATGATAATAAAATTGATATACATATGTATATATATATGCATACACATACTGCGTATGTGTAGGTACGAGTCGGCATTTCAGTAAATTCATTCCTTGTGGATGTTGAAACCTTTCACCTGGAAGATTCCTGGCCAGGCACCCAGCTGCCCCAGATGCAACTTCAATTTTCAGAGTCCTGGCCAACTTGGACAGTCATGCTTTCAGTCTTTCAGACTTTAGGTACTTTTTTTGATCTTTAATGGTGCTCAATGGTGTTTATGGCAGAAACGGTTGCTTCATGTTGCTTCCCCACCTCATAGCCCGTAGTTTTGCAAATTTTTGCCGTATCAAGTCTCAGGTCTCTTGATGTCGAGTAACCGATTTTTTTTTTGTAATGTATTGTAATACTAATTTAATCTTGCTTCGCCTTGGCCTTGCTGAGGGGTGTGAAAAACCTTCATTACCGATAGGGGACGAACCTATACCGATACCCCTGTTTTGCATGAGTCGCCTCAAAGTCTGAGAACACAGAAATCCTCACAACCGATAGAGGACGACCCTAATTAGTGCACGGCATGAACATGAACACGATGAACACTTAATTTCGTTCGCTCAGGAACACGAGTCTTCCAAACGCTGTGGACTTGGTGAAGGATGCAAAAAATGCGACGTTCCACGTTGCAGCTGCCTAGACGTGGATGTGGTATTTAGATTATTTCGGTATTGGTAAATTGGTGCCTGTCATGTTTTACGGTATTTATACATTTTATATGTGTTGCAGACTCATGTTTTGCACGTTGCATGTAGGTTACTGTAGCTGTAGTTTCAAATGTTTCACATAGTTTGATAAATGTCTTCAGCATGGTCAGGACAGCTCAGACTGGGGTGTCCGTATTCGAGAAGTGGGAGAGCGAGAATTCGATGAACCAGGTGGCTTCTTCCAGTCCTTCAAAGAGTGGTAAGTAGGTTTGCAAGTGACATCTCTTGGCTCCTTTCAAGACAACAGCCGAGACAGAAGAAGACTGCAGCCTTCTGTTCTTGGCAGCTATGTCCACCGTTCTGACACTATGTGCAAGCAGCGAAGTCTGTTGGCTTTCAATTTTGTTGCATTTAAGGTCTTTGGATGGAAGATGCTTCTCCAACTGCAGTGAAGTCCCAGTTCTTTGCTGCAGTGAAGGCACTTGGACCGCCATCCCCTTTGATCCTTGGATTGTTGTCAGAGGTGCTGGAATGTGAAGGATCTGCACCGACTCTTTTTTTCTTCTCGAAAGCGCTTCAAACCGCTGTGACTGAGGACAGAGGCCCATGAAGTCGCGTGACGATATCGCAGAGCTTCTTAGGGATTCTGTGATACAGTAATGTCTCGGGAACAGCAGAGAGTAGTGGACACCAAAAAGGAGGTTTATGACAGGTATGATTCGGTATGATGACTATGGCACTATGGAAAGTATGGGTTGGTAAATTTCTGAGTGGCTGAGAGACCATTGACAAGTGTCCTTGTGTTGGAGATGACAAGCATTTTCTGGGAGGCTCCACCAGCAGCTCTGCAGGTGCGTGGTGACCTTGTTCCTTGCCAGCAAAAATCGAATTTTCTTGGGCACCCTTGCCCTTGGTTGCCATAGAGCTTTGGTGGTTTTTTTTTGCTTAAAAACACATTATGCCATTGAGGATCTCGATCCAGGAGGTGATACCTCTGACGCTGGAGAGGATGAGGCACGTCGAACAAATTGCGTCCGGTGTATCGCAGGTATCGCAGTGTGTTCCATTGGACTGCGACAAGATGGTGGAGCTGCGGTGAGATTCGATCCAAGAATTGTTTGCATTCTCCAGGATCTCCCAGGTGAAGCACTTTTCCGTTCATTCGATGACAACTAAAACCTTGCAGTGAAGCCAGAGTAGACTAGTTTAAACACCTCAGGTTTGGATTTTGGCAAATGTAGAAAGGTCCAAAGGTTGGTGATGTAACAGTGATGAGTTTTTCAGATTTTCTTTGATCATTTCGGCATGGTCTGAACCACAGGTGAGTCCAATCAGATCATCGACAGTTGGTTCAGAGCGTGAGGTGAAACGCATCGGAACCTCGGCGTCAGAAGGTACTCGGTTTTCAACTTCCGTCATGGCGACCGAATTAGGAAGGAACACTGATTGGATACCCTGAATTTTCTGAAGAATGCTGCAAAAATCTGCAAATCCTTGATCTCTGGAAGCATTTCTGCAAATTTCGACACAAAACACATGCCGTAACAGCCATAGCAGCGTAGCTTGTAGCCAATTGTGAGTCTTGGAGCTTGCGGGTGGTTTTCTTAGGACCTAAGCAGGCTCCATATTTTGACCCACCTGGTCGCTCTGTTGGACGACTTGATCCAACATCTCGTTTTGATGATACGTTCTTGATATATTTGATATACATTAATGTTACATTAACAGAATTTAACAGATACTTCTTTGATTATGAATTATATATGATTATATGATGCTTTGGAGCAACTTTGCTCCGCGGGACATTTGCACGTACCAAGACCGCGTTGTTTGCACACATGGAGATGCAATCGTTTGCCAATCTGTGTGCTGGTGTTTTCTTCTGCGTTATTATGACATATTTCAAGAGTGAGCTCCTTGTACCATGAATGTGAAGCTCAAGATTGACCACCTTATCGTTTGTTTTGGTGCAATTAATTTGACCCAGATGTGTGTGCACAGATGATCTCTGGTGTGTGCACGCATGCGTCCCCTGTCCTGCAGCCCGTGAAACCTGTAATCAGTTGTCTCGTCCTTGCTTTCCATTGCTTCGAAGAGTTCGCTCATGGCAGGCAAGGAGAGGTTCCCTTTGCGCCGCCTTTGGGCGAGTGAAAGCAAAGTGTGGCTTGGACAATGTCAGACATTCCAACGGAGCCTCAACACCAAACCATGAGGCAACCGATGTCCATCCATATATATTTTCTTATTATATTACATTATATTATATTACATTATATTATATCATATCATATCATATTATATTATGGTATGTTATATTATATTATATTATATTTATATTATATTATATTATACCATATCATATCATATCATATTATGCATACATACGTTACATATATACACGCACATATTGTGTATGTGTATATATATATATACACACATGTTTGATGCCTCTTCACTACTGAAAGCCCGAGGCAGCCAGTTCGTCAAACGCGTCGGCAGACTAGCAAAAGTGACTTGCCGGCGCTTCAGCTGGAGCACAACGAGCTATGTAAGAGACTCGTTCAAAACAGGCAAATTCTCATCTATTCGTACTTGACAAGGATCATTGGTCAATTCATACTAATTCGCAAGTGCGAGAAGAACGGGACAGGCAGATGTCTATTCTGAATTATTGGTGTCCCGATTCAGAATGATGGATATATTTCAAACACTAAGCAACGGACAAAGGTGATGCGATTGGGTCACAGGCAAAGTGCCTGGATGCTCATTGACCAATTCATAGTTGCCAGACTAAGCACATCCACCAGCACAATGGAGCTTTCTCCGGGGAAGGGAGAATCACCTAAACAACAGGGCTTCAGGCTGCTTACATCCTTATATTGGAAATTAGATCAAATCGAGGTAACATATTCGGTCCATCTAACTGTCATTTGGATTGATTTCTGTCGTTTTTCTTGCCTTCGTTTTGGCCCCTACTCAAAGCTTGAACAACAAGCTTCGGCTTCTGCCAGGCAAACTAGATTCGGACGATGCCTCTTCATCGGCCACTTGATTGCAAGTGCTGGGAGCATTTTCATGGAAGGGTAGACACATGACAGAATTGGGTTCAGGATAGGGCGGAGGCTGGTTGAATGTTGAAACCATGTTGTGTCGCTTTTCTGGCGCTGAAACTTCACGAGTGCACAAACTTCAAGTGCTGAGGCCCGAAATGAGGAATCTGAAAGCGCATTTGCAGCGCCAACCTGAGCTAGACAGTAAACGCCACCTGATGTGAAAACCTGCGGAAAGATTGCACAGCCCGACTAGTGTCCACATAGCGTCAGTTCGCAAATTCCGGCCGAGTTCATCAAAAAGCTGACATGGAAGTCGTTTATCTCCTACCCGAGCAGCCTCACTCGCCTTAGCTGGGACAGAGTGGGGGGCGTGGCATGAATTGGAGTACTATATTTTTTTTTCCTGCTGACTTTCAAGCAGTTCAACATGCTGAAGACAAAGAGTCTTCGCAAAGCTTCACAAGACCTGGCTTGACTTCTTGAGCAAAAGCTCTTGGATTACTACGAGCCTGCAGGACATGTTTGGTGGCGTCCTGATCATGTACGATTTGTTCGCCGTTCCTCTACAAGCGTTCAAGCCACCTGGCAGCCCTGGTCCTTGTCTTCGAAGGACAGAGTCTTAATGTTCTTTGTCAACATGTCACAACTGAGTCCTCCACAGAGTACTGGCTTGCTGATCATGGACTGGTGCCTTGGCCAAGAGGAAAACGAGTCTCAAAGTTATCTTGTGCTACAATGGCTATGATGTGTTATGCAATCCTCAAATTGCTCACTGCATTTGATGGAATTGCATGGATGCTGTGTGTTCAGATATGTTCGGATCCAGTGGCTTACAGGACGATTTTTCGCGGTCAAATTGTCAAATGCTGTCAGGCTCACGCTTATCTTTTGGACGCTCAATGTTGGCATGTCGCTGACCACCGGATATGCCAGCACCTCATTCCTTTCAAAGCCGCTAAGACACACACACACACACATTGATATGGTTAATAGCGCCTGCCTGACCCACGTCAGAACCTGGGTACCTAGCTGCTGACTGGGCTTCTGATGCAAAGGTTCAAGAGGGTATCACCATCATGGAGCCGAAAAAGATTGATGCTTGGATGAAAAGTAGGCAGAGGTAGAAGGCAATCGTTCAAGCTGCAAATCAGGAAAGGGAAGCAACCATAATCAAGCAAACAATCACCTGACGAACTCACGGGACATGTTGCAGAGCCTGTTCTTTGGCTGATGCCAAAATGCCTCAGCATCTTAGGTGTACAGATATTTGAGAACTTGGTGTGTGATTTGGCCGCAGCACTTTTTTGAATCGCTAGACAGCAGCATGTCAAGGGACAGTTCACACTTTTGAATGGCTCTTGAATGGATTTTGCAGCATTTGTGTTCATTTGGGTATGGATCGATACCTATAGATACATTTTTAATGGGATGAACATCCATGAATCCCAGCTATTTTGGGGTTCACTAGGTACCAGGGTTTTGACTCATAGCCATTTCTGCGTTGCTTTGAATCTCACCGGTGGTGGCTCGGTGGCTTCTCAGATAGTGGACCTTGTGGTTCTGGTTCCGGATTGGGCTTCAGCCTCAGCATTCAATAGACGACGGATGGCGTACGTATGAAGATCTTATAGCATGAAACATAAATATAGAAATATACGCTGATGCCTAAAATGAAGAGATATGGTGCAGACATGTTGTGAAAAGCAGGTACATACGAAGACATTAAAGGAGAAATAAAAGAAAGATAAAACGAAGGAGACACAGGAAGAAGAATTGAGACGGACATTTTCACCCCCAAACAGTGTACTGTTAGGGGTTCTTAATGCTTTCGTAAGGTGTCCGCCTTGGTTTTGGATGGCGTGTCCGCCTTCCCGAGGATCTTGTCTCGCCTTGTCTCCCATTGTACCCCTTCTTGTGTCCCTCTCTTGGATGGTGTGTCCACCTTCCCGAGGGTCTTGTCTCCGCTTGTCTCCCATCACCCCTTCTTGTTGGATGGTGTGTTGTCTCCCATTGTACCCCTTCTTGTTGGATGGTGTGTCCGCCTTCCCGAGGGTCTTGTCTCCCCTTGTCTCCCATTGCACCCCTTCTTGTTGGATGGCGTGTCCGCCTTCCCGAGGGTCTTGTCTCCCCTTGTCTCCCATTGTACCCCTTCTTGTGTCCCTTTCTTGGATGGTGTGTCCACCTTCCCGAGGGTCTTGTCTCCGCTTGTCTCCCATTGCACCCCTTCTTGTTGGATGGTGTGTCCGCCTTCCCGAGGATCTTGTCTCCCCTTGTCTCCCATTGTACCCCTTCTTGTGTCCCTCGCTTGGATGGTGTGTCCACCTTGCCGAGGGTCTTGTCTCCGCTTGTCTCCCATCACCCCTTCTTGTTGGATGGTGTGTTGTCTCCCATTGTACCCCTTCTTGTTGGATGGTGTGTCCGCCTTCCCGAGGGTCTTGTCTCCCCTTGTCTCCCATTGCACCCCTTCTTGTTGGATGGCGTGTCCGCCTTCCCGAGGGTCTTGTCTCCCCTTGTCTCCCATTGTACCCCTTCTTGTGTCCCTTTCTTGGATGGTGTGTCCACCTTCCCGAGGGTCTTGTCTCCGCTTGTCTCCCATTGCACCCCTTCTTGTTGGATGGTGTGTCCGCCTTCCCGAGGGTCTTGTCTCCCCTTGTCTCCCATTGTACCCCTTCTTGTGTCCCTTTCTTGGATGGTGTGTCCATCTTCCCGAGGGTCTTGTCTCCGCTTGTCTCCCATTGCACCCCTTCTTGTTGGATGGCGTGTCCGCCTTCCCGAGGGTCTTGTCTCCCCTTGTCTCCCATTGTACCCCTTCTTGTGTCCCTTTCTTGGATGGTGTGTCCGCCTTCCCGAGGGTCTTGTCTCCGCTTGTCTCCCATTGCACCCCTTCTTGTTGGATGGTGTGTCCGCCTTCCCGAGGGTCTTGTCTCCCCTTGTCTCCCATTGTACCCCCTTCTTGTGTCCCTTTCTTGGATGGTGTGTCCACCTTCCCGAGGGTCTTGTCTCCGCTTGTCTCCCATTGCACCCCTTCTTGTTGGATGGTGTGTCCGCCTTCCCGAGGGTCTTGTCTCCCCTTGTCTCCCATTGTACCCCCTTCTTGTGTCCCTTTCTTGGATGGTGTGTCCACCTTCCCGAGGGTCTTGTCTTCACGGCTCCATGAGACAAATAGTTTTTGCACTGCCAGTCTGAGGCATTGAAAGCACTTTAATTCAAGTGCCTAGTGTATTTGTCAGCATTTGTCAACCAAGGTCTTCACAATTATTGCATCGGATTCCAGCAGTACTGTGGGGGCTCCAAGTCAGTTTCCATCCTTATCATCTTTGTACAAGTTGCACTCGTACAAGAAACATGTTTTGATGCTGAACAAATCCAGACCATTGTTACGTGATACACAGGGTTGGTTGAGCGTAGAATCTTGATATATTCTTCACAAAACAGTTCTAAGTATTTGTCCTAACTGGCTACCAGAAGGCAGTTGCAGACTTCAGCAAGATGCCTCGAGTGGTAAGGCTGGTGACATTCAACAAACACCTCACTCACCGATTTGTATTCCTGGGAGTCTTTTCAACCAAAACATCCCACCATTCCTTCTACAATTCCGAGTGCTTCACAGGCTTGCCCGTGTCGTGCGTATCTTGCTTGCAAGTAGTGCAAACGTTTCAATGGATCAGGCACATTCTTTGGCTGGTTTCCTTATTTATGGCTGTGCACGTTCACTGCGAGCATATTTCAGAGCAGTCCTGCTGACCATGGTTGACACTGGATTGTTTTTTTCCCTGAGGCTTGCTGAGATTGGTAAGGCTTAAACGTTTCTTGGCTGCAGTCATTTCAAACCACAATCACCTGTGGACACATGAATCTATCATACCAAGGCTCATATCTGCTCTAAATGTTTCAGCAGTTTACTATCAGATGATTATGAAGTTGACCTCCCCGATCTCCCGGCATCCTTTTGGCTCTGGACTTTGCCGAGGCCTCTTTGAGCAGATTGAAGATGCCTTGGACTCTGAGTACTATAGTGCCCTTGCCTCAGTTGTGTGTTCTCGACCACATGTGCGAGGCACGCTTTATTTTAAAGCATTTTGTGGCCTTCCATGACTTTCCGATGCTTAGCAATGCCTGGCACTGTTTCTGCTAGCAAATTCAAGGATTCATGTTCGTTGAATCGCTGCTGCAGGTCCTATTCAACATTTTCAAGATGATGCTGCTTCTTTTCACTGTGGCTCGGCTTCTCTTTAGCTAGTGGTCGGCACATGCTAACAACGATATACAACGGGCAGTTGCTCAGGGCCAAATGCTTTCCAAAGTTACAGGTGAGTCTTGAGCACCTTGAAATGCCCAGGTGAACCATGTGATTGCTTGCGGATGGTATGCCCTGGCTGATGCCAACCGTAGTGATGCAGGCCATGGTCTCACTCTGCTATTTATTCGCATTGGCAGTGAGCAGGTGTTGAACAGTTGTTTTTTTAATGGTTTCATGCATCAGAGAACAGTACATTGGCGCTGCAAGGCATCAATACGTGGACAAAGGAGTGGCAGATGCAAGACTTTCCGTGGGAGCATCTGCACCTTGACTACAGTTTCTATTCTCACTCCATCAAGACTTCCCGACATTTTATCTTCAAGTTTCACACTAGTTACTGTACCTTGCCAGATTTGAGCACGTTGATAGAAGCTGAGCATGCGTCATCTTGCTAAGGTATTTGGTCTCCCTCCATTGGAGTCTAACCCAGTTTACTCCAGCAGGTGCGACTTCAAAAGGCTTTCTTTGAGCCTCAGGGAGTGCACACTTGATTCCAGACATTCCAGCAAAGATACAAGGGTATATCAACCAGCTTGGAACTCAAATGGCCAAAACTGCTCAAGATTCTTCGCACATGCGAAGCTTCTGAAATCTTGTCCAGGTATGGATGTCACGCCCACCAACGAGGTGGAGCGTGGTTTTACCATTGGGGTGGTTGTCTTTGCGCTGGTCACTTGGCGAAGAGGAGCTTCACCTCCGAAGCAGGAGAAGATAGGAGTCGAGTCAGGAGTCGAGTCAGCAGTTGAGTCCGCTGTTAGACCTGCTGCTGGAGTGAAGCAAGTTGCGCCAAGGTGGGCTTCGCGTATGTGGTTGGAAGCATCACTGCAAGCTTGGCTCAGCTCCGAACTATGTCTGAAGAGGCAGAAAAGAAATAACATTTGAAGATACACAGATATATAGAATGATCTATGTATTAGGTGTGAATATCTATGATTTGTTGGAGAAATGCGGCTACTTATCTCTTGCAGAACTTGCTATGTGATGTCTAGACTGATTGTCATATAATCGGTGCTGAATGTGTAACCAACAAATGACGACTGTCCTGAAGCCAAAAGGCCTCCAAAGATTTCTGGCAAATGCGACGCTTCCTGAACCAGAATTCGGTGGATCACAATTTGGCAGCAAGGATCCAACGCTGCTCATCAAAACCTGGCAGATGTGAGCAGAGTCCTAGCATGTACTAGCTACAATTTGGCTTCATTTTTTGGCCAATGCCATGTCTGTCGATTCTTCTCGAGTCGATGCTTGAGGTTTTGTGGAATACACATACAGTCGCCAGCAGAAGACCATGTCCATCAACCAGGTCAAAGTCTTGTCCCTCCTGTCCAAGCAACTGTGCTCCGTCTGCAGAAACATGTGGAGATGTGAACAAAATGGGTCTCACAATCAGCACTTTTTTTTGTTTTTAAATGGTTTTTCCAAGCATAATTGCAGCTTAATTATATATGAGATACTATCAGACTGGAGTGACTTTCGACCTATTTCTTTTGCAAGCTTTGACGAGCTCAACATCAGGATGGAAGAGCTGCAGTGCGCCATCAACCTGCCACACATGTCCCTGGGTTGCGCAACAGGCAGAACATGAAGCTGAATGAAATGAGGCAGAATCTGAAGAAATAGAACAAACCTGAAACATGACATGAACGCACTTTAGTCACAGTCGTTCTGGTGTCGAAGGTATCTCCAAACAAAGCCACTCAGAACGGCTGATGATTGACCGTGCATTGTACATGCATACACACTGAATTAGTTGCAAGCAGACTGGACAAGAAGACATTCTTGGATATTTCCCAGGAAAGTGCATCCGCTCTTCATGTTCCTCAATGAGTGCCTTGGATGCACAACCCATTGCATGGCTACAGCAAGGTTTTAGGTCACAGACTGTTTTTAGATGTTTTTAGTCTCTCATCGACTGCTCTGCTGAGGTTCTCTTTTATCACAATGAACCGCTGTGCAAAGGACGTGGTGCTTTCAATCCTGTGCGGTCACTCACTTTTGACACAGCAATCTTGAAACAGCGGAAACAAGTTCATCTTTGAAGAGCAGCTGAGGATGATACTATGATATCTATGATATCCATGATAATTACTGTATCAATGATATGATATCTATGATATCGGTGACATGCTGCATATCTTATGATCTTGTGAAATGCAGGAGTCCATCTCGCACATGGAGATGGCTCAAGGAGATACTCTATTTCTGCCAGAACAACATGCCAATTGCAGCATGCCTGGTCGATTGGTCCCTTAAAAATGTCGGGGGGACGCCTAGTCATGGCATGGGACGCCTAGTGACTAGGCATTAGTCGATGTACTCAAAGACCACAAAATGCCAACCGGGCAGAACCGACTGCCAAGGCATGTACTTTGTCGCGGCGACCTCAGGAACCTTTCCAGGTTACGAGTCTGCTGAGTCTGAGTCTACATTTACATCATTCACTTTTTCAATCTTCGCTTTTCTTCCTATTTGGTAGTTTCCAATCCATGGGGGTACCCCAAATCATCCATTTTGATAGGATGTTCCATTATAAACCATCCATTTTGGGGTACCTGCAGTACCCCCATTCTGGAAAGCCCCATTTGTTGAATGGCATTCACTTCGCTGAGTCCTTTGGACGCTTGGAGTACATCCGAATGATTGACAATCATGGCACGGAGGTCAAGGCTGATGCATCCCGTTATGTGGAACTTATGTGAAGCATGGAAGATGTAACACGATGTAACACGATGCAACAAATAGATACAAAGAATGTGAGAACATGTACTGTACTGTAAGAACATGTGGAAAATATGTGGAAAATGGATTCAGATCCATGCCATGTCATGAAACTTCTGCCATAGCCATGACAGGAATTTGTCGACAAGGCTGAAGACTGGCTCGCAGAGCCAGCCTTGTGGACTGAAGCCTGGTGCGCTTATCTCCGCTGTGAACAAACTTCTAAGGTCAAAGGCAACTGATACTGATGCAATGAGGAATAAAAGGATCATGTGAAAGTTTCTTTTATCAAATCGCTGATTTGCGCCTAGATGGATATCATAGTAGCGCAATTTTTCGCTGCTCTTGCTGCGATTTAGAAAGGACAAGGAACCGAATGGCTAAGCCAAGTCCGCGGGGCGTCTTCGGTTGAGGTACCATGTCGGTGAAGCCAAAGCCTACACAGATTGTGAGGTTCTGATGGTCGATCCAAAGGCACGCTTCCAATTTCCTTCCTTTGTTTCCTTCGAGTCCGCAAGATTTAGGTCTGATTTATGCACGGAAGATGAATCACGGCGACCCCTTCGCCTAATCCTGCGAGGCATTTGAGGAAATCCTGAACGTAGCTGCTTGGCAGATATGTGGCCGATTTGATGCGATTTTTCCCGCATCCTTTGCGAAAAGAATTTTGTCCCTTGACTGTGAGCCAATTCCTGTGTCCTGTCTCAGGTCAGACCAGTTGCCAGCATCGTAGCCAACTATTGCAGGTGTGCTTGCCGACGATCATCGATTTTGGTGCATCTCATGGTTGCATAGTTTTGCTTGCCCAATCGAGAGTTGGGTGTCGGGGAAGCGTTTTCTCATTCTATACGCAGCAAAATTCCCTTGTATGCTCCAAAGTAAAATTCCTTAAGTGACGTTTAGGTGTCCCTTCTGTTGCAGCCTCTCAGAATAAAATGCTGGAGGAGCTTTATGGCCTGGCTTCAGAACCTGGAGTCTGAAGAGGGAATGTTGACAGATGTCATTCAAGGCAGGACTTTGGTTCTGCTGGTTTGTTGCTAGACGATATTAGACGATCCTTTGAAGAGTCCTCTGGGTATTTTGACTTTGTGAAGTGTCATGACTTTAGAAGTTGTCTGCCTTGCGATACTCAAAACATGAGCGTTGCTAGGTGATCAGGTATCTGACACCATCCAAAGCTTTTTGCCGATGTGGTCGCCTGACTGCAGATGTTGCCAGAAGGAATGAGATTAATGATTACTTGATATTTACTTCAATACATTTCAGTCATGTTTTTGAGCACATTTCAGTCACCTTTCATCAAAACACTGGGGAGTTTCTGGCGACTGCAAGGATGGTGGAGAAACCTGACGAGACTCCAGGTAAAATGGAAAGCGCAGGGGATTTGCTGAGGGGGAGCCGGTGGAGCTTTGGCGTAGCTCGGCCGTCATGGTGGGGTTTTGGGCCCATCCAACCAGGGTCCTACCGTCGCGTCTCGAAATTTTGCTGCTTCGGAATGTGTGAGTGGAACAGCCCTGGGGTATGCTTGGATGATCGCTAAAGTCCTAACTCCTAAGGTTAATAAATTGTTGCTTGAATAGGTATCAAACCCGTATCCCGCAAGTCTCAGTCACTGTCACTATAGTCACCATATGTCACTATAACATTCCCATGTAGTCACTATAACATTCCAAGGCCAGCTTTAAAATCTTCCCAGTGATCATCCCTATGGGCAATCGCTCTCAAGGCCTTTCGGCGGACGGTCAGGAAAAGTCTGAGATACTGAGTTTTTTTCCTGTGTGGTTGCTTGGATGCACATGGATGGGCACGCAGCAGAGGGCGTGGAGGTAAGATGATCCTTCTGTGCTGGAGGATGTCGCATTAGTTGATTAGGGCCCCATATCCCGGGTAGTAGGCTGTTGTGAACTCAGGGATTTCCAGAGATTTTTGTGCTGAGTTTGCTGATTCATTGTCCGCCGTGGAGTCAGGCGAAGCCTCCCAAGCTGTGACAGAGCTTCAGGCTCACGTTTTAACTCGTAGGCGGAGAAGAAGCAATGACAATTGGCTGGTTATTCCTGATGCCCAGAATGATCCGTTTGAGTCACAAACACACAACAAGTCTAAAAGTGCAATCCCTACTAGAAGGCCTCATAAAGATCTTTGATTTCACAGACATATGGCAACACGGACTGTAAAGGATTGTGCCATATACTTTTGTTTTCAGACAATGCACATCTAATACCGTTGGCCTTAGTGGATGACAACGAATGACAACGCCTCCCAATCAGGGACACACTCTACTCGTATCTACTGTATTCATCAACCTGCTGGTCGCAGGACCACTGCTTGACAATTCTTTGCCAGAAACGTTACTCGATTCGTTTGTGAACCCCAAGGCCCAAAAGGGATGGGGTTTGCAAACCTGCAAAAGCCAGAGCTGAAGGAATCACTTGGAATTTCCAGTGATACCAGTGATACCAGTGATACCTGTGATACACAATTGGAGCGCTTACGTTTTTTGGAACGATTTGATAAACCCAGGCTCTGGTTTAGCATTGTACCTCGAAGCTTTTCACTGTTATGGTACGTTTGGTACTGTGACAGTGTGTCCGCAGAAGTCCGAAGAACATATGTGATATCCTATACAGATCTATACAGAGCCCCGGCTCCGTTGAAGCTCTGAATCACAAGCCATGTGACACTTGTCGTGTTTATTCGTGTGCTGTTTTCCTTCGATTCAACTGGGTGATATGACAGATTCGTCTCGGTCCAAGCAAAGGCATGGACTCCTGGACTCGAAGATACTCAAAGTTTCACAGGTGACGTAGCACCCTCCCTCTCCACTTCCGAGCTCGACTCCTTTTGCTGGAGCTAGTCAGCTAGTCACCTCACAGAGATCCGAAGGTTCCCGGTTTCACATCCGAATGCAGCTGAATCGCTCTGATCGGAGAAACGGAGACGCCATCATGGCATCATGAGACGTCCTGTGTGAGCAATGGTACATTTTCATGGGTCAACGGAATCAACGGTCATCATGTTGTAATCCTTGGACTCCGCTTCAAGCTGAGGGGAGCAGACATTGTGGTCCACGCTGCAATCTGTCCTCTCAAGTGTGAGAAAGACGTGTCGCAATGTAGCACACTGATTGGTTGATGTCCAGAGATGTTCCAGGATGTTTGACAGAAAACAGCAGAATTTGAATGATTTTAAGGCAAGCCTGAGACAAGACCCTTTTGACTTTACGCAACGCTGGGCCTTCCTCGAGCCTTGCAATCCAACATGAAGCTGCACACAGTTGGCTTTTGTGGTGTTGATGACTCGGTGGATTTGCATCTTTGATGCAAACACCTTTGGCATTTTTGGGCATGTCCTTTTCATGTACTGTATCATAATATATATTATATATAATATAATAATATATAATATATATATATACAAGTATATACACAGTTTATCTACATATACTTGTGTTGTGAAGTAATGTCAACCCTGGATTCATAACCCCCTGGGCTGTGAAATTGAGGGGATACTGGGATATCATTTTGACAACATATCATTTCTGTTTGCGGCCAAGGCCTAATTCATCAGCCCGGGTTTATTGCTCCAAGGTTGACATTATGATACATTATCATTCTATACATTCATACAGTCATACAACCAACAGTCGCTTTGTCAAGGCAAGAACTCATGAAGATGGACAAAGACTTCCCTGGCTGGATTCATGGTGATGCCATCAGATTTTTTTTGCTGAACGCGATCCTTCAAGGTCAAGGTTGAACGCATTTGTTGCTGGTCAGTACTTTTGTCGCACCTGTACAGTGGCGGGGAAGACGTATCAAGCTGTGATACACTGTGGCATTTGTTGGTCTCCATTTTTTGACTTTCCAAACTTGACTCAAACCGGAACACGAGGATTGAATGGGGCGTGCTACTGCGGCCTGACAAGCAGGGTTCCCCTCGCTATGCTAGCAGAGAGCTGCTAGGGCGTCTTGGTCGTCTGGCACGAGGCGGGATGTTGGGTTTTGGTGACACGAATCTTCTGATCAGTCTGATCATATCCACTGCCTGTGCCTCCAAGAGATTATTTGAGAGACCATTGTGAATCATTGTGAATCATTGTGAATCATTGCGATGCTTGATCATTTTTCATCATTTTTCATCCCTGAGATCATTGCGATTTGCTCTGCCCTTTTGCTGAGAGGTGAAGATCCTGATCTTCCAGGATCACTGCGCTTGGCTGCACACCTTTGTGGGGAGGACTGCCTCAGGCGAGCGACATGGGACCAGTGCATTGGACAAATCGATGTTTTGCAATTTGGCCTTTGAATCATTTTTTCACTTGGAAAACAGGTCGGATTAGAACAAGCTTGGTGCCATGGTCCTTTGGCATTCTTTCCATTTGCCAGGGCGCTGAATGGTGATGTCCGCCACATTGAAGAGCTCTACAAGCTTTTGGGCGTCAGACGTATGCAGCTGAATCCTACCAAGGCAGCATTGGAGTGACGGCAGAAAGCACTTTGTTCTTGAATCATAAAGTCCTGCCCCACGGAGCAACCGAAAGTAGATTGCGCAGAAACTGGGAGAGACTTGGTTCCCTCAATTTTGCTTGCGTTGGGCTCTGGTTCTCGGAAATTTGCATGGAACACGTCAACGTTTGACAAAGAGTCGCTGCGATAGGCGAATGAAGTTACTGGATGGGCAGCAGCAGATGCAGCCGCCAACCTGCGGAAGCTTTCCCAAGCTCTGCCCGAACTTGAGCTGATCTTGCAAGTGAACCAGGATCCTGGGTGCCCACTGGGTGCCCACTGGGTGCGCACTGGGTGCCAGGGTGTGCCAGGGCCTGTCAGGGTGCGTTAGAGGGGTTGCCATCCCGATGTATAGATGTGAATTGCACAGGAGACACGAGAGCTTTTTCAGCTTCTTTTTCATGGAGATGTGCCTCCTCCGTGCCCTTCTCAGTTGTTGCTGAGTGAGACAAGTACAGAGACTCAAGAGAGAAAGAATATATTCCCCAACAGCGTAAGCTAATGGGGTCTTCAGCCCAGAATAGCTCCGGTGTGCACTGGTGCAGGCCCCGGGTCAGCTTCAACAGGGTTCCGGAGAAGGTTCCGGAGAAGGTTCCGGAGAGGTTCCGGAGAAGGTCTGGGAAGCTTGGTTCAACAGGGTCCGGTTCCCGGAGAAGGTTCAACAGGGCCCCGGAGAAGGTTCCGGAGAAGGTCTGGGAGGCTTTGGTGCAGGGCCAGGTCAAGTTCAACAGGGTGCCGGAGAAGGTTCCGGAGAAGGTGTGGAAGGCTTTGGTGCAGAGCCAGGTTAAGTTCAACAGGTTCCGGAGAAAGTTCCGGAGAAGGTCTGGGAGGGGGATCTGAAGAATGCCTGGAGAAGGTTCCGCAGGGAGGCTTTGGTGCAGAGCCAGGTTGGGTTCAACAGGGTTCCGGAGAAGGTTCCGGAGAAGGTCTGGGAGCGGGTTCTGAAGAATGTCCCGAGAAGGTTTCGGAGAAGGTTCCGGGAGGCTTTGGCGCAGAGCCAGGTCACGTTCAACAGGGATCCGGAGAAGGTTCCGGAGAAGGTCTGGGAGGCTTTGGTGCAGAGGCAGGTCAGGTTCAACAGGGTTCCGGAGAAGGTTCCGGAGAAGGTTCCGGAGAAGGTTCCAGGAAGCCTTGGTGCAAAGCCAAGTCAAGTTCAACGGAGAAGGTTGCAGAAGCCAAGCGAGGTCAGGTCAGGTTCACTTAACTCACGGAAACCCAGCTGACGTGTTTCCAGCGCTTGGCTTCGCAGCACGCTTCAGAAAGATTTGTGAAAGTCAAACTTTGCGGCTGTTGGGGATACCACCGAAGCCTTTTTTTTCGAGTCGGTCACCGCCATGTTGGAGCCAAGTTGGGCCAAAGTTGGAAGTGGGTCCAAGCAAGTTGGGCCGAAGTTACGACCTTCCTGGCCCAAGTTGGCCCCAAGTGGAGCGCATGTTGCGGCCATGTCGGATCGAAACGGTGAACTTGGACTATGTTGTGCCGATATGCAAGATGTGCAAATTTCAACAGTCTCGTGCACTTTTAAGCTGAAGCTGTGCCAGTTGAACAGACTGTCCACTCGAACCGATCGGCTCCCCTCCTAAACTATCACGCCTCGGCACCTTCGGCGCGAACGGATTTGACAGTGTTTTGCTGAGCGCTTTTGGGCCACTTGCGTTGCTAGGGCCAACATGTCGGTCCTCTTGGATGCTTCTTGTGGCCTGGGCGTGTCCCCAACCACTTGGGAGCCACCGCCAGGCAGGATCATTTTTTATAATTTATCTTTATCATCAACTGAAATTGAAGTGATCTACCACCAATCATGCTCATTTCTTCCCATTGTCTTTTGGAGTCCTGTGGTCCCACGACCAGGTCTTCGACGCTTTGGCTTTGCTGGTGGCCTTGGCCCATCCACAGTGCTGCCGCAGCTTGAGGCCATGAACCGTGACTGCGAGGCGGGGCACTTTTCTTCAAGGATCTGCAAGGTGTTTCGCAGATTGCCTTGACATACCTTTAACATTCATACACATATCATATCATATATATATATATATATGTAATATAGTATAATATAATATGTTTGGCTTCAACTTGTTGTGGCCTTTGTTTGTTGGGAGTAGTGAGCTTGCGAACGTACCGCCTGTAACAAAAAAAGAAAAATCTGATGAACTGAAAACCAACTGACGGTGTTGGTGAGCCTGGCGGTGTTTTCAGCTCAGCTTTCAGAGTCAAGCAAATATAGCTGATCCTCCTGTGAAGAGTTGAAGATGTTAAACATGTTCAAATTGTTCAAGCTATTTTAAGATGTGTGGAAGTGCGGTGAAATCTGCTGAAACTTCCGTAGTTGGACGCCTTTTCCATTCCGCACTTGTGCGGCGGCAGATGCTCCTGGCTGAATGCTGGAAACCAACTGAAGTTTCCAAACAACTTCTGTTTATTATCATGTTGTGACATTTACATCTGTCACTGTTGTTTGAAGGATGATCTTTACTTCTCACTTTTTATTTAGATCAGATTGATGTCAGTCTTCTCACCTTTTGCTCTGTTGCGAACATTTTGATTTTATGTTCCGCGCAATTTTGGCTAGGGTGTGGAGGGTGGGTTGCACTTGACCCGTTCGATTTTTCTATCCGATTTTTCCATATCGCCATGGATGCCTGACAGAATTTTGGAAGATCTTGATTTTACGGGACGTGCATTCTCTGACAGAACTTTCAGTTTTCATTTGAACAAACACTGCCTGGATTTGCAAGTGTTTTGTTTTCATGGTACTTGTGCGTGATTCACACAGTTTGGGCGATTTACCAGATGCAGCTGGTGCTGCGCAGTGGCCTGTTTCGCAAGGGGACAATGGAGGCCAGAGCGACATGGACTGGGAACACGTACAACTTCCAGATGCTTTGAATGATCATGATTTTGGACAAGATTCACATTTCAGTCCTTTGTTTGGATACGAGGAAAAGGAATTTGCAGAGCAGCAAATTGAGGAAGAATATTCACTCGCTGCAAGTTTGGTCAGACCAGATGACGTTGAAAACCAGACTGGACGCTTCATGGTGCCCACAGCCAAGGCACGGGCTGATAGGAACTTGGCTGAAACAGTTGACATGGATGTCAGTCGAACCATTGACAACCTTGTGATTCAACATGTGGCTGGGTCTTCTTCACTGCCAAGTTCTTTTTTGAATAGAATGGATTTTGACAATGTATTTTCACTGGACAGCATTTGGAGGCAACCACAGCTGCCTATGTATGGGCGGTTTGAATCTGTTCAGGGCGTTGTGCATAGTGCAGTGAGCTCGCATGAGGAACCGGTGCAAGGAGTCTCAGATTTCAAACGCAAAAGACTGTTGGCAACGGCATTTGCCAAAACAGATGATCAGCTGGTTGATTGTGCAATGCGGCAACTCAAAGAGATAGTTCTTTTTCAACCTTTGGATTCAAGACTGGGCAGAGCACTTCTGGATTTTTCAGGAAAGCTGGTACCAGAGTCGAAAATTTCAACTTCCTTTATTGATGCTGTTGCTGGCAAGGCGCCTGGCACAGTATCTAAAAGGGTTGCAGACTATCACCGTTTTGCACGATGGGCAGTTGATGGGGGACGTTGCTATCCCATGAACATTTCAGAGACTGTGGTGTACGACTATGCCAAGCACTTGCAACTGTCCGGAGCCTCTGCAACATCTCTGCAGTCATTTATCAAAGCAATTGGATTTTTCGAACATCACATTGGCTTTGCGAGGGTGGATGTTGCTCAAATTTTTTCTGGCAGAGTGAACGGAGTTAGCAGGACTATGCTTTCAGGCAAAAGGGAGTTGAAGCAAGCTCCACCACTTACTGCTGATGCGTTGTACGCTTTGGAGAAACATGTCTGTGAGTGCAACGATGTGGAGGCATGCATTGGAGGATTCATGATTTTTTGTTTGCTGGCATCTGCAAGATTTGCTGACGCAGCTCGTGCGGAGACCGTGCATTTGGACATGAGTGGTCACATATCACTGCTGGAGACGTCAAGCATGAAATTCAAGACAGCGCATACGGCTGGCAAGGAAGCTAGGAATGTTGCCCTTCCTATGCTGGCCCTGGGCAATGGGCTTTACGAAAAGGACTCTTGGGCATGGACATGGATTCGTGCCCGGAAGCGACAAAAGATGGATCATTTCAAATTTTTGATGCCGGCCTGGAATGAAGAAACATCACAATGGTTGAATCGTCCAATGACATCTGGTGAAGGTGTATACTTTCTACGTGAGCTGCTGTGCAACTCTGGTATGAGTGAGGCTCAGGCGGCTTCATACAGCACACACACCTTGAAGGCTACTGCACTGTCTTGGGCGGCAACATCTGGAGCCATGTCAATTGATGAGAGGCGTATCATGGGGCACCATTTTGACTCCAGGTTAGCAATGCCATTGATATACTCGAGAGATGCGCTTGCCGAGATTCAAACCAAGTTGTGGCGCATTCTGGACTCCATTCGAAAGGGTTACTTTGACCCTGATGCAACTCGGGCTGCTCGGATTGCTGCACAGACTTTGCAAGATGCAGAACATGTCGATATTGAGAACTATTCTGACGAGTCAGTTGACCCCATTGAGCTGGGTGCAAGCGAAACTCTGCCAGTGCCTCAAGCAAAGAAACCTGTGCACAATGGACCGTTGACTGAAGAAATTTTCAAGTCATGTTTGCAGCATGTTTTGTCAGGAGTTTTGCATGTAGCAGTGGACTGTGAAAATTTGGCATGTTCACGAAAAGTTTCTGCGAACTACAAGAAGCCTTCTTTTGATTTTGAAATGGCATGTGAATTTCCATTTTGTGCTCAGTGTGCACAGCATTCTTGATAGTGAGTGCTTAGTGCAACAGAAGCGTGAGTTGGGGCGGGCGAGAGACAAACAAGGCGGGAATCTGTTCAGCAAACATGTCGAATCTTGCTTACTGGCAATGCATTGGCTGGTATGATTTTTGAATCTCGCTGTTGCATTACCCAGCTTGACTTGACTTCAATTTGTTGCAGCATGAATTTAGCTGACAACACAGGGAATGAGTGAATTGAATTCCTTTGTGGTGACTTGCACAACATGAAATTGAATTTCATCGACCTGATGCGTGAATTGCTCAGAGTCAGCGCATGACTTGCGCACCAATGATCCGATGCACAACTGTCGGAGCCTTTGAAAAACAGTGAACAGCTTCATGAATGTATGTTTTCTTGCAGTGTGAATTTCATTGCATCAATGACACATGTTTGAAGGTTCACGACTGTGGTTCAACTTATGAAGAAACATTGCGTTTCAATTTCGATCTTGTTGAACACTGTTTTTCATGCGTTGATTTTCAAATCAATAACTCACTTTAGTGGACGTTTCGCTCTTGACTTGACAATCTTTTGCAAGATAACAATAAAACTGTATCACTCAGCGACGGCTGGTCGAAAGTGCAGCCATGTCCGGACTTGATTCGAAACATGCTTTCAGCTCACGTGCGCTGGAAGTAGGGATGCAAGAGGACCTGCTAGAGAAGCTCAAGGGAGCTGGGTTGGACACGTTTGGGAGCCTTGCTTTTTCAAGTGATGCAACGCCAACTTCAAACACTGAAGAGAAGTTCAAGAAAGCAGTCCAAGATTTGATTTTGGTCGAGGTTGCCCCAGCTGAAATGATTCCACTTCGTAGGCTGTGGTTTGAAGCGCATGCCATGGTGCTCTCTGACATACGTAGCAGAACAGAAAGAACTGAGGCTGACCAGCCTAGGAAAATGCCACTTGCAGAGAGACTTGCTAGGATTGACAAACAGAAAAAGGAATTGAAAGGCCTGATCATCGACGCGTCAGTCGAACCAAGTCATGGATTGGTTGACAAGTTTCAAAACATGATCGAGGATGGTTGCTTGCTTTATGTAGGACCTGAGAAGTGCATGTCACGAGAAGAAGAAATTACCAAGGAAAAGAAAGAGTCAGCGCTGAGCATTGACCATGCTGGAGGTCTCAAAGTCACCAAGAAGGCTCAGGACTTGCAATGTGATGTTTCGGGCGAGCTTAGACTACGTGCGGCATTTACACGCCGATCTTTGGCCATGCATCAGACCAATTTGGTGACCTTTGATTTGATTGAAGAGTGGAATCAACAGATGTTTGCTGCGTTGTTGCGGCCGCCTCCAGCTGGACACAAGTATGTCACGACACAGCAGATCTTGAGTGCTGACAAGCAACTGTGGATGCACATCTCACAGCAAACCCGTGGCAAGTTGATTTCTGGCATAGGTGAGAAACCACCTTTGGATGAGCAATTGAAAAATTACATGAGGTCTCCTGAAGTTCTTTGCTTCATGACTCCATTGCCATCAGTGCGCGCTGAAGCGCCTTCAGGACATCGTTCCGAGCCATACAGTCGAGCGGAACAGAGCAGTGGATCCGGCAAAGGCAAAGGGAAGAACAAATTTCAGTCGAAAGGTGCTGCGTCAGGTCCCAGCTCTGGGCCCACTATCAAAGAGATGCTCACCAACATGCCAGACGGCTGCGCCAGCAAGCTGCCGAACGGTCAATGGCTGTGTGTTTTCTACAACAGAGGGATTTGCAAACATCAGAAGAAAGCACGTTGTCATTTGGGGCTTCACCAATGTTACTACAAGGGTTGCACAGAGAAGCGACCTTACATTGAGTGTAAGCACTGACTTGGTGAGCCGAAACAAGACAATACAATTTCTCACCCTCATGCAGACAAACCAATAGTCTTTTTGGAAATCTGTGCGGGCTCAGCTGCGCTCTCTGCATCAATGCAACGCATGGGCTGGCAAGTTTTTCCGATTGACTATCATGCAAATCGTTTCAAAAACAAGATGCACATTTTTGAGTTGGATTTGTCATTGCATGAGAATATTTCACTCCTTGAAGGCATGATCGAACAGATGAAGCCGGTAGGAGCCCATTTTGGGCTTATGTGTGGAACTTGCAGCCGAGCAC